AGTGAAGGAGGGGAGAGTGGGGGAGATGAGGCAGGGGTGATGGGGCAGGGGGTACAGCTGAGTGAAGGAGGGGAGAGTGGAGGAGGTAAGGGCAGGGGGTAGAGCTGAGTGAAGGAGGAGAGAGTCGGGGACGTGAGGCAGGGGTGATGGGGCAGAGGGTACAGCTGAGTGAAGGAGTGGAGAGTGGAGATGAGGGCAGGGGGTACAGCTGAGTGAAGGAGGGCAGAGTGGAGGAGGTGAGGCAGGGGTGATGGGGCAGGGGGTAGAGCTGAGTGAAGGAGGGGAGAGTGGAGGAGGTGAGGCAGGGGTGATGGGGCAGGGGGTACAGCTGAGTAAGGAGGGGAGAGTGGGGGGGGTGAGGCAGGGGTGAGGGCAGGGGGTACAGGGCCTTGCTGGCTGCTGGGAGGCCTTGGGCTTTCCTCTGCGGGAGCCGGGCGCCAGGGGCACACTGAGCGACTCCCCGAGCGTGAGCTGGAATGGTCTTTTCTGCTCGTCTGTCTCATTCCAGCGTTGCTCCTGTTCATGAGGATCTTGGGCGTCTTATCAGCTCCTCCCTGAGTGGGCGTAGTAGATGGTCTGGGCCTCCTGAATTCTCGACTGGGGGTCCGAGCCTGCACGAGAAAGCTTGGAGGGGAAGGGGAGCCCCTCTTCTTTGTGGATGACTGCAGGCCACCGTTACCTGGGCCCTCCCACCCCTGAGTTAGATAAGGCAGCACTTCCCCGACCTCAGTGTCCACGCAGATCCCCCAAAGGTCTTGCTAGAACGCGGGTTCTGACTCAGCAGGTCAGCCCGGGGCCTGAGGCTTTGCATTGCTGATGGCTGCAGCAGTGCTGCTGGTCCTTGGACTGCGGGCTGAGAACAGGGGTGTCAGGTTAGCATGCAGATTCTTGTTTGGGGCATGTCTGTGGACGTTGGCAGGGTCTGTGGGTGCGTGCAGGGCGCCGGGATGACGTTTGGTCACCGGTGTGGCCGTGTCTGACAAGAAATAAGCAGGAGGAGTAAGGTGACTGTGGGTGGCCTCTTTCCATTTGCCCGCGTGCTGGCTGGGGCTTCCTCGCCGTTCCCCGGAGCTCCGGGTCTGAAAGGCAGGCAGCATCGGGCAGTTGAACCCTTGATGATGCGGCCATGAGAGTGCTGCTCGCTGCCAGCCTCCGGGGACTCTCCCTGGAACCTCAGCTAGAATCTATGCAAAGGAAGTCACATCCCAGCTGTCAGGGGCAGGAGGCCAGGGGCCCGGGAGTGACATGGCAGCTTCCAGCCGGAGCCAGCAAGGAGCTGGTCGGCGGGGTGGGGAAGCAGAATCGTCGATTCCCGTCACGGCTTCAGAAGCTGGGTGAGGGAGGCCAGGAAGGGCTGGCGTGCTTCTCTGTGTACAAATGTTGTCTCTTATTTTCCGGGCTGCAGGGTGAGGCAGAGCGGAGTATTTGTGCAACACGGCCCAGCTTTGTTCTCGGTGCTCCTAATGACTGTCGGCTTGGAGGCAGGAAGCCAATCAGGGACGATTGTCACAGGGCCGGCTTTTGTTGGCTCCTCAGATTGCCCCGAGTCTCGAATTTGCTTTTCAGAGTGTGCGTGGAGCGTGGAGCATGCCTCAGCCACTTTCAGCTGGAGGCAGAGGACGAGGCTGGTGACAAAGGCGTGGTTTTTCTGGTTTATTTAGAGTCCCTACTTCCAGGTTATCTGTTTCCCCACCTGGAAAGTGGATATTTGCTCCAGCTCCTCCTTCAGCCTGTAAGATCGCTTGGTTTTATGGAGCTTCCAAAACGCCAAACTTAAAGTTTCCAAGGGAGCAAGCTGGGAGGAGGGCAGTGGTTTAACATGGCAAGTTCACCGAGACTCAACGTTTGGTCCTTCTGCAGGGCAGCGGAATTCAGTGTCCCCGGGGACGCTCGGCCATGTCTGCAGATCGCTTCTGGTCATCCTAGGTTTTGGTTGTCCTAACTGGAGAGGAGAGGATGCTCCTGGCATCTGGTGGGTAGAGGCCAGGGATGCCCCCCACCGTCCCACAATGCACAGGACGCCCCACACACAGAATGATCCGACCCCAGTGTTGGTAGTGCTGAGGCTGGGAAACCCTGCTCCAGAGTGCACAAGACCCTGTGGCTTCCTCCCCCAGCACCCATTTCTCCACACCGAGACCGCCTTCTCAGATTGCCAGCTGTTTCCCACGGCTTTTGGACCAGAGATGCGTCTGTGGGTCTGGCAGGGGGACAGGGAACATTCCCATTCACCGACTGACTAGCAGATCAGACCCTCATACGAAGTGAGCAGGATAGACCCTCCCCAAGGGCAGACCCTCCAATGGGACACTCCAGCGACCTCTTCCCCGGGAGGAGAATTCCCAGGATGCAGGAAGGAGTTTGTGCCTGGAGAGAGAGGGGATTCTGCGTCTGGACATGGGCACGTGGACTACCCCCTCCCTCCCTCAGGTGTGGAAGGGCAGCTTCTCAGAGGCCTGCCCTGGCTGCCATATTATGTTTTTATTGAGGTGAAATTCACGTACCAGTAGTAATCATTTTTTAGTGACTAATTCAGTGGCATTTAGTACAGTCACAATGTCGTGCACCTATCGCCTCTATCTTGTTCCAAAACATTAAGCAGTGACTTCTGATTCCCCACTCCTTCAGCCCCTGGCAACCGCCAATCTGCTCTCTGCCTCTATGGGTTTGTTTATTCTTGACATTTCATATAAATGGAATCATACAAGATGTGGTCTGTTGTGCCTGGCTTCTTTCACTCAGCGTGATGTTTTCAGAGTTCATCCACGTTGTAGCATGAATCAGTGCTTCATTTTTTATGGCTAAGTAATATTCCACACAATGGATATACCACATTTTGTTTAACCATTCATTCATTGATGGACATTTGGGTTGTTTCCACCTTTTGGCTGTTGTGAATAATGCTGCTATGAACATGCGCATACAAGAATTTGTTTGAGTACATGTTTTCCATTTCTTTTGGGTATGTACCTAGGAGTGGAATTGCTGGATCATATGGTAATTCTATGTTTAACTTTTTATGGAACCACCAACTGTCTTCCACACTGGCTACACCACTTTACATTCCCACCAGCAGTGCACAAGGGTTTCAATTTCTCACATCCCTGCTAATACTTATTGTTTTCTTTTTTTTTTTTAATTCTGGCTATCCTAGTGGGTATCTCATTGTGGTTGTTTTTGTTTGTTTGTTTGTCTGCAGGGAAAGATTCACCCTGAGCTGACATTTATTGCCAATCTTCCTCTCTCTCTTTTTTTTTTCTTCCCAAAGCTCCAGTACATAGTTGTATATCCTAGTTATAAGTCCTTCTAGTTCTCCTGTGTGAGCCACCACCACAGCATGGCTACTGACAGACAAGTGGTGTGGTTCTGTGCCTGGGAACTGAACCTGGGCCACCGAGGCAGAGTGTGCCGAACTTTAACCCCTAGGCCATCAGGGCTGGCTCTCATTGTGGTTTTGATTTGCATTTCCCTCATGGGTAGTGATGTTGAGCATCTTTTCATGTGCATAACAGCTATTTGAATATCTTCTTTGGGAGAAATGTCTAGTCAAACCCTTGACTCATTTTTTAGTTGGGTTGTTTGTCTGTGTTGTTGAGTTGTAAGTGTTCTTTATATATTCTGGATACTAGACCCTTACCAGATATGATTTGCAAATATTTTCTCCCATTCTGTTGGTTTTCTTTTCGCTTTCTTGATAATGCCCTTTGATGCACAAAAGTTTTAAATTTTGGCTAAGTCCCACTTATCTAGTTCTTCTTTTGTTGCTCATGCTGTTGGTGTCAGATCTGACCACTGTATTAAAATCGTAACCCACATCCTCCTTTGCTACTTTTTCTCCCCATGGTACTCACTGTCTTCTAGTGGACTATGTTGCTGTGTTGTCTGACTTACTCACTTCTCCTCCACGAGGGCAGAGATTTTTGTCCAGTTTACCCTCAGCTGTGTCCCGAGTGCCCAGAACAGAGCCTGGCACGCAGTAGGTGCTGAATTAATATTTATCCAATGAATGTTGGAGGTGAGATGGAGGAAGAATATCTACATTTTCCTTAAAAAGTTATCTGCTGGGTTTTTAGGGCAGTGAAACTACTCTGTAGCCCACTGTAGTGGTGGATACACGTCATTGTCCATTTGCTCAAACCCATGGAACGTGCAACGCCAAGTGTGAGCTCTGAGATAAACTGTGGACTCTGAGTGATAAAGATGTGTCTATGTGGGTTCATCAATTGTGACAAATGTGCCACTCTGGCGGGGATGTTGATAATGGGGGGGGCTGTGCGTGTGTGGGGGCAGGGGATATATGGGAAATCTCTGTACCTTCTGCTCAATTTTGCTGTGAACTTAAAACTGCTCTAATTTTTTTTAATACAAAAAAAGGAAAATGTTCTGTTTTAATAATTGGTAGCTCTTTCAATTAAAAGAGTCAGAAACAAAAAGTCATCTGCCCCAGGTTTGGGGTCTGAAGGGATTCACTCCAGACAAGATAACTGATGGGGGCTGGAGGGATCCGAAGTGGGGAGAGTGTTAGGCAGGGGACGGTTGGAAGGCACGAGATAGTTTCAGCCTAGGCCAGTGGCGGGGGGGGGGGGGGGTGGCGTGCACACTGTAAACATCCCTTCTCACTTACCTTACACAAGCTGCAAAGATATTCGTTGACCCCCGGATACTCCCTTTGAATACATGATTTTAGCCACCATCATAGCCAACTGCATCGTCCTGGCCCTGGAGCAGCACCTCCCCGATGACGACAAGACCCCGATGTCTGAGCGACTGGTGAGTCACGACTCTGCTGGGGGCTCGCCTTTACCACGGTAGCAAATTGATGCGGTGGGGGGAGCAGAGGGCAGAGTGGGCTCTCGGTCTAGCAGCCAAGAGCCGGGTCACGGGCCCCCTCCTGGGAGCACACATTCCACGAACACCGATAATGTGGGGAGAGAGACACCCTCACTGTCCACAGCCCCTCCTCGCCCCCCAGCAGACCTGCTGTCAACCTGGAGAGGGATGGGCGACATGGTCACCTTGTCTGTGAGAATGTCATATTCAAAACAAAATTCTTGGGAAAAATTTGACCGTTCACAAAAATACAGAGAACAGTACAATGAAACCCTCCTGACCCGTGAGCTCATCACCCGCGTTCGCTGCCTCTGTCCTTTCTTGTTTCCTTGGTTTGTCTTTCTGGGCCAAAGTATTTTCAGGCAAACCCCAGACGACATGTCAGTTTGCTGCCATATACCTACGTCTGCATGGCTAAAAAGACGGGCGTTTTATTCCACCACCACAGTGACGATTAACATTGCTTCCTGGCAATCATCTAAGACCCAGTCATAATCATATTTCTGTGGTTGTCTCAGAAATGGCATTTTACAGTGGTTTGTTCAAACTGAGATTCGAAGATGGTCTAGATTTTGTTATGTCACTTCAGACTTTTAGTCTGCAGCAGTCTTTTTCCTCCCGCCATTACTGCAGAAACCAGTCCAGCTGCCCTAAGGAATGCCCCACGTCCTGACTGTGGCCTGCTTGCTTGCTTGCGAGGTCATTTATCTTGTTCTTCCGTCCCCCACGTTTCTCATGCATGGAGGTCAGCTCTGGAGGACATTCAAAATCCAGTTGATACTTTGGTGCAAGTCCGCAGAGCGGTAAACTAGCCCTGAGACCCTTCTTGATCCCCCAGTCATCCCCCAGCCCGCTGGTTTCTCTCCTGGCCCTCTGACAGTGCAGTGGAGGAGACTTCTCTGTCACCTCTTCAGAGCCACCTGTAATAGCGCAAGTGTAGGGAGAGATATGTTAGAATCCACTCATTCCTAATCCACAAAGTATTGATGCTCTCAAGACTTTTAAATGTTAATAGTCATGTCTTATGATGTATATTCTAAGAAATATAACTAGCCTAGCAGACTAGAATTTCAAGGCTTTTTTGTTTTTGCTTAAGATGAAGCTACGTAAAAAGAGCCAGTTTCAAGAACAGTAAGCTGATATGGAAAAAATCACGAAGGCAGAATGAAAATGATCGAAGCTTGAAAAACGTTCCCATAACAGATGGGAAAACACCCATGTAGGGGCTCTGGTGGAGGAGAGCTTATGGCTTAATTTCAAATACTATAGACTATCAGCTGGAAGCCAGAACTGGTGGGAGGTGCGGTGAGGGCCTGGGGGCCAGGGCACTGGCCGTTTGCCAGCCAGTACACAAGTATTGTTCCAATATTTAGCCACCTGAACAGCTGTGCTGGTGCCCCACCAGCTGAGAACCATCGCGAGTGTCAGGTTTGGGGTGAGGTTGGTGCAAAGACCTTGAGTGGCGTGTGTGACAAGTAAACATGCTAAACCAGTGCTTTCCCGTAGAACTTTCTGCAGTGATAGAAATGTCCTACGTCTGCACTGTCCAGTATGGTAGCCACTGGAAAAGTGGCTAGTGTGACTGCAGGACTGAATCTTCCATTTCATTTCATTTAAATTCATTTAAATTAAATAGCCACGTGTGACCAGAGGCTGCCGTACTGGACAGCTCAGGTCCAAACAAACAGTTCTCCTTGGCCAAGTGGTATGTGAGGTTGGTCAAAAGGGAAGAAGGAGGGCGTCTTCGCCATGCTTCTGTCTCTCTTGCCTTCAGACAAGAAAATTCTAGGCAGGATGTGGCGGGGGGCAGTGAGTGCTGGAGGATCAGGAGAGGGGAGGGGAGGTGGAGACAGATCTCCAGGTGGGCTGGTTCCTCATCACGCCCCCCTCTGCCCAGCCAAAGACACTGACCTTACCTTCTCTCCCTTCCAGGATGACACAGAACCATACTTCATTGGAATTTTTTGTTTCGAGGCTGGAATTAAGATCATCGCCCTTGGGTTTGCCTTCCACAAAGGCTCTTACTTGAGGAACGGTTGGAACGTGATGGACTTCGTGGTGGTGCTAACAGGGTAAGTGGCGTGTGCTATGTTTCTTAGAATTATCTTGAATGACGAGGACTTTGGAAACGTAACAGTTGGTGTGGTCTAGGCTGGGCTCGGGAAGGCCGAGCACCCGTGTTCTGCTTCAACATGCATCTGCCTTCTTCCCTCCCTTCATATCTCGGCTGCATATTACAGCAGAAGCGTTCTGTTACAATTAGAATAATAGCTTATTAGAGTTGACTGCTTCCAAAGTGCTTTATGTGCATTCTCTCATTTAATCCTCGTGACAACCCAATGAATTAGGAAATATTAATATTCCCGGGTGACCGCTGAGGATTCTGAAGCACGGAGATGAGCTTGCCTGAGATCACCCAGCTGGTGGAGCTGGGATTTGAACCTCAGATTATGTGATTATGTGAAGTTTTTAACTATTGTCCATGTCTGGTCCTTTTGCCTCACTCAGGGATGCCTTTATTTCACGTTGGCCTTTATTTCAAGTCGATAAATGTTTGTGGAGGACTTCTGGGTTAAATGGTTTGTGGTAGGACTGTGGAGACAATCAACCTAGGTAAGGTACAGTCACTGCCTTTGAGGAGCTTTTAGGTCTATATGTAATGAACCACAGTTGAGAGGTGGATGTGTATATACTTTCCATCAAGAACTCTGTATAAGGTAACGCTAGCGGCTATAACAAAAAATCCAAAACCAGATAATGACTTAAAACAACAGAAGTTTATTTTTCACTCATTGAAAGCCCAGAACAGTTGTTCCTCGTTGGCAGGCTTCTCTCCTCCAAACAGTGATTGACAGGCCTGGACCCTTGCTACATTGTGGCTCCTCACTGTTGACCCACAGCTTCCAGGAACTCTATGCTTGTCTGCGTTAGACCCCAGAAGAGAAACGAACGTGGAAGGTGATGCGTGGGAGGCTGTGTGGGCCTGGCTGGGACCTGGCACATACCTCTTCCACTCTATTCCTTGGGCTAGAATTCAGTCACATGAGCACGTATCACTGCAAGGGAAGCTGGGAAATGTCAGACTGTGCTTAGAAGGAAAGGGATTTGGGTTTGGTAAATAGCCAGCAAATCTCTGTCAAAGACCCCAAAGCCTTTTGTTAGATCCCACTATGGACATAACTATTTTGTGTTGATTTCAGGCTCCCTTGCCCACCCACTCTTCTCCCCTAAGCCAAGCCTAGCTCTTCTCTTCCAAGACTTCTTTGGGAGGCCTTCCTCATAGTTCTCCTCTAGGAGGTCACAGCTCTTCTCTGTGGGGTCACAGGTCTCTCTGGGGTCACAAGTCTCATCTGTGAGGTCACAGGTCTCGTCTGTGAGGTCACAGGTCTCCTCTCTGGGGTTACAGGTCTCTCTGGGGTCACAGTTCTCCTCTCAGGGGTCACAGGTCTCATCTGTGAGGTCACAGGTCTCCTCATGGGGTCACAGTTCTCCTCTCTGGGGTCACAGTTCTCATTCTGGGGTCACAGCTCTCCTCTGTGGGGTCACAGTTCTCCTCATGGGGTCACAGTTCTCTCTGGGGTCACAGTTCTCCTCTGTAGGGTCACAGTACTCCTCATGGGGTCACAGTTCTCCTCTCTGGAGTCACAGTTCTCCTCATGGGGTCACAGGTCTCCTCATGGGGTCACAGGTCTCCTCTCTGGGGTCACAGGTCTCCTCATGGGGTCATAGGTCTCCTCATGGGGTCACAGTTCTCCTCTATGAGGTCACAGTTCTCCTCTGTGGGGTCACAGGTCTGCTCTGTGGGGTCACAGGTCTCCTCTGTGGGGTCACAGGTCTCCTCTGTGGGGTCACAGTTCTCCTCTGTGAGGTCACAGTTCTCCTCTATGGGGTCACAGTTCTCTTCTGGGGGGTCACAATTCTCCTCTATGAGGTCACAGGTCTCCTCTGTGGGGTCACAGTTCTCCTCTCTGGGGTCACAGGTCTCCTCTGTGGTGTCACAGTTCTCCTCATGGGGTCACAGGTCTCCTCATGGGGTCCCAGTTCTCCTCATGGGGTCACAGGTCTCCTCATGGGGTCACAGTGCTCCTTGAGGTTCTATTGCTGCCCCAGGCCCTGTCTCTCTTGGCAGGTGTCGTGGGTCTTAGCACCCATCCTGTGTTGGCTGGGCTCTCACAATTCAGGTTTTGAACACATTTGTTGTGTCAGAGCAAGACTGCTTCCCACAGAAGGAGCTGTGATGTATTGGGCTGTTTCTGTAGAGGCATTCAGATTTGAGTGGTCTGTTGTAAAGACCCTGGGCCAGCTCTAGTGGGCTTGGGTGTTCACTTAGGGACCTCTGTTGGCTGTGTCCACAGTCCTGTGGCTTGGGACCTCAGCAGGTTCCAGAGACATGGCATGGCATTGGGCACTTTTCTTTTAGCTTGCTAGGAAACTCATCTGTGAAACAGCCCAGTAGCTGACTTTGTTGTTGTTGTTAAAAATGTACAATAAAAATATTCAGACATTCAAAAACAAGTAAAGAATAATATAACAAATACTTGTGCCTGCATTCATTCATTCCATAAATATTTATTATGCACTTACTGTGTGCCAGGCTCTGAGACACAGCAGTGAACAGAACAGACAAAATCCTTCCCCTTGGTGGGCATGAAGGTTAAAGGGGCACATATTTGTGGTGACTGACAAATAATAATATACCACTGAAATTTCACAATGTTATAAACTATTATGACACCAATAAAAAAAATCCCTCCCCTTGTGGAACTTATATTCTAATGGTGAAGAAAGACAAAATGAATGAGTGAATGAATGAATGAAATATCTAGTTTGTTAGATGGTGGTGAGAGCTACAGAGAAAAAATAAATCAGGGACGGGATGGGATGTATTATGAGCAGGGGACCTGGGAACCAGGGAAGACTTCATTGGGAAGGTGATATTTGAATGAAAACCTGAGTGAGGTGAGTAAATGAGCCATGAAGATAGCTGGAGGAGGAGAGTGCCAGGTGGCGGGTACAGCAAGTGCAAAGGCCCTGAGTCTGGACTGTGTCTGGCATGTTTGATGAACACTGGAGACCAGAGAGAGCAGAGTGAGTGAGGGAGCGAGTAGAGGAGGTGAGGGCAGGGAGCTGATGGAGCAACCTGCCATCAAAATGAAACCTTTCTAATACAGTGCAAGTCCCTGTGCCCCCTTCTCTGGCCTCATTCCTTTCTCTCCCCCGTCCAGAAGCACTTTCCTGAATGGTGTGTTTGTCATTTGCATTTATGTATTTACACTTTTATTACCTAAACATATAAGAAATATATATGGTACCGTTTTGCATGCTGTAAGTTTCTCTATGAATGTTTTCTTTTACAGCCTGCCCTTTGCACTCAACATGAGCTTAATTTGGTTGACAAGAATAGTCTTCATTCATCCGTTTTCACTGCTGCGTAGTGTTCTGTAGTATGAATATTCTACCATGTATGTATCCATTTGGGTTGTTTCCAGCTTTGAGCTATTTTGAACCAAGCTGTCCCCTCATTTTTTGTGAGTGGATTTCTCTAGGGTTTATGCCCAGGAGTGGAACTGCTGAGCTGTGTGCTGTACGCACCCTCAGCTTTGCGAGATATTGCCAAATTGCTCTGCAAAGTGGTTGTGCCAATTTATGCTCCCTGGGGGCTGACTTTTGCTGGCACGGGCTGGCTTGACCTTGCTGGCAGGAACAAGCCTTAAAAACCCCTGTTTTTATATAAAATGGTTCTTGAAACAGCTAGGGAAGCTCAGATACCATTGAGCATGTGGTTAGTTTCAGTGACTGGTCAGTGAGTTGAAAGGCGGCCATTTGACAGGTCAGTTTGCCACTTGGATCTTTGTATGTGCTCCTTGATTACAGCAAGGCAGTCTTTCTTTCCAGTTTCCTGACATCTGATGAGCCTCTAGAGGAGAAATTCTTCATCTGGGGAAGATAGGTCCTAAGGATGGAACCTCACGGTTGGGATTAGCGGGGTCCATGAACCCTCTGGAGTTGCATGCAAAAATTGTGTGTGTGTGTGTGTGCGTATTTCTCTGATCTGTAGTTTTCATTAGATTCCCAGGGGGTCCTGATCCTAAAGACACGAGGACCCTCTACTGTAGATTCTATTTCTTTCATATCCTCTTCTCCTTTCCTTCTTTATTTTTTCTGCATTCCTTACTCTTGCTTTCCTCACTTTCATTTCTCCAGCAATCAACCATCCTTCCTTATTGTCTGGTGGTTCTATCTCCTTCAAATCAGGCACATCACTCAATTTTACTACTTCAAATTCCAAGGTGCTATCTAGTCTCCTGTTGGTTTATAAGCTAGGAACAGGGAGAGGAGACCAAAAGCCTTGCAAGCACAGCCTTCTGCTCGATGTTAGTGATGAGGAAATGCAGTGAGCTGAATTCCGTGTTCCAGGGGAGAGGACGGGAGAGCATTGATTTGACATTGAGACAAAGATGACTTTAACAAGCACTTTCTGATTAACTCATTGTCTTCTCGCTTTTCTGAGCAAACTGCAGCATTAAAACACCATTCATTTTTCATGGATTACCAAGGTTTTTGCCTTCTTCTTGTGTGATGTTTGGCAGAAAAGATCTTACCCATGGATTTTTGTTTGTTCTGTGTAGCTCAAGGCCTCAGAGAAATTCTAACTTTGTAATTTTATCAAACCCCTTTAAAGCATGGCATTTGAAGGTCGGATCATATAACTGAAAATGTGTAAGAGGAAGATTTCAGAAGCTTGGCTATATTTCTGAGATGACAGAGCTTTCATTGTAATGCTCAACTATATATAGACATCTAAGAGGTCAAATAATACAATTGTGCATGTTAAGAAAAGAGACTGTGGGGCCGGCCCGGTGGCGCGGGCGGTTGGGTGTGCGCACTCCGCTGCGGCGGCCTGGGGTTTGCCAGTTCGGATCCCGGGTACACACTGACGCGCCGCTTGGCAAGCCATGCTGTGGCATTGTCTCGTGTAAAGTGGAGGAAGATGAGCATGGATGTTAGCCCAGGGCCAGTCTTCCTCGGCAAAAATGAGGAGGATTGGCAGATGTTGGCACAGGGCTGACCTTCCT